ACGAGTTTCTCATACAAACCACATCAACTTGACTATATTTACCCCAAAATCCAAATATTTACATACAAACCACATCAACTTGGCAATATTTCCCCCCAAAATCCAAATATTTACATACAAACCACATCAACTTGACTATATTTACCCCAAAATCCAAATATTTACATACAAACCACATCTACTTGGCAATATTTCCCCCCCAAATCCAAATATTTACATACAAACCACATCAACTTGACTATATTTACCCCAAAATCCAAATATTTACATACAAACCACATCAACTTGGCAATATTTCCCCCCAAAATCCAAATATTTACATACAAACCACATCAACTTGACTATATTTACCCCAAAATCCAAATATTTACATACAAACCACATTAAATTGACTATATTTCCCCCCCAAATCCAAATATTTACATACAAACCACATCAACTTGACAATATTTCCCCCCAAAATCTAAATGTTTACATACAAACGGGTGGTTCAAAATAACCTTAAAAAACCCTTGAAAATAGAGAAAAAAATCCTCAAGCCAAATGGGGAAAAAAACTAAATTATTTCACTGGATTAGAGAATTTATAACTAATGCTTGGTCATTTTAAGCTGTAAAATTTTAAGCTGTAAAATTTTAAGAAAAATCACTTTTGATTAAAAAATCGAATTCAAGTTGTTCAGAGAAAAGATTGATAAAAATGTTTATAATGTTTGACCTCGAATACCTTGTATTCCACTATAAAGGATTCCTCGTATTCCACTTTAGAGGATTCCTCGAATTCCACTATAGAGGATTCCTTGTATTCCACTCTAGAGGATTCCTCGTATTCCACTATAGAGGATTCCTTGTATTCCACTATAAAGGATTTTTCGAATTCCACAATAGAGGATTCCTCGTATTTCACTATAGAGGATGGGGAGGATACAGAACTACTGTGGACCTCACACAGCCTCAGAGAGAGGAGAAAAAAACCTCTATCTTTCTATCTATCTATCTTCATCCTCTTTACATCTATCTATCTATTTATCTATCATCATCCTCTAAACATCTATCTACCTATCTATCCTCATTCTCTTTACAAAAATCCTACTATCCATCTATCCATCATCATTAATCATCCCTTATCTATATCTATCTATTTATTTCAGTTTTAAACTTTACATTTTTTATTAAAAAAGAATTTTACTAAACATAATGTTTCACGTCTATCTATCTATTTATTTATATATCTATTTTTCTATCTATAACATCCACTGTACATCTATTCTTCTATCTATATAACATCCACTGTACATCTATTTTTCTATCTATAACATCCACTGCACATCTATCCTTCTAGCTATAACATCCACTGTACATCTATTCTTCTATCTATCTAACATCCACTGTACCTCTATTTTTCTATCTATCTAACATCCACTGTACATCAATCCTTCTATCTATCTAACATCCACTGTACATCTATTCTTCTATCTATCTAACATCCACTGTACATCTATTCTTCTATCTATCTAACATCCAATGTACCTCTATTCTTCTATCTATCTAACATCCACTGTACCTCTATCCTTCTATCTATCTAACATCCACTGTACATCTATTCTTCTATCTATCTAACATCCACTGTACATCTATTCTTCTATCTATCTAACATCCACTGTACATCTATTCTTCTATCTATCTAACATCCACTGTACCTCTATTCTTCTATCTATCTAACATCCACTGTACCTCTATTCTTCTATCTATCTAACATCCACTGTACATCTATTCTTCTATCTATCTAAAATCCACTGTACATCTATTCTTCTATCTATCTAACATCCACTGTACCTCTATTCTTCTATCTATCTAACATCCACTGTACATCTATTCTTCTATCTATCTAACATCCACTGTACCTCTATATCTATTTATCTATCATACACTGTACATCTATCCTTCTATTTATCTATCTATCATCCTCAAACATCTATTCTTCTATCCTTCTAATTTAACATCCTCTGTACATATATCCTTCTATAAATCTATCTATTATCCTTTATACATCTATTCTTCTATCCATCTATCTATAATATCCTCTGTACATCTATCCTTCTATATATATTTATCTATAATCATATACATCTATACTTATTCTATTTATCTATCACACTCTATACATCTATCCCTCAATGATACTCTATACAGTATACATCTATCGCTCTAACCATCTCTCTAACATCCTGTGTTCATCTATCCATATTTCTATCTATATATCGTTCTTTCTTCTGTAATACAGATTTGATTGTTCAAATTTCGTCTTCATTTTTTACAATAGTATGGGCCCTAAGGTATCAAAGATTATATTTTAAATTTATAAAACCATATTCTAATATTTGTTTAAGAATTTTAAAATTTTTAGTAGGTCCCCCTTTTAGTTCTTATACGCTTACACAGATAAATACAGTTTTATGATGTTTTCTTTATTTTAAAGTTTATTTATGGTTTCTTAAGCATACAAATTTATGGATTTTGACTCGAATCTTTGGTGGTGATGTGTTTTTGTTTTTGACATATTACATATAAAATACTGCAAGTTTCTTACGATACAATTGATAAACATTGAATTTTGTTGGACAAATTTTAATTTTGCTTAATTTTGCAATTATTAATCATGGGCTGCGAATGTTGATAATTATGCTTTATATTTAAATGCTTATTTTGGCTAATTTTAAGATTTCTATAAACATTGAGGGGTTTTACCCTTTTAAGCTCATACTTTCAAAATGGTCCCAGATATTGTTACTCTTTTTTTTAGACCTGTGGCATTCGTTTTACTTTCTATTTACAGATCTGTGGAAGGAGTGGGAGATATATTTTCATATTCATTAACTTGACTTGTTGGTGCCGGATGCCGCGTCCAATCTTCATTCTGTCCGTCGTCTTCGTTTCTTCCCGCCAAACTCACAGTTTTCCGCAATCCCAGAATCCTTGATTGTTTGACGGGTTGAATATTGCCCGTGATGGAATCGTTGGGTTCGCTAGGCTGGGAGTCGAATAGACGGCGTGAGAGCCGGTGGTTTTGTTCCTCTGATATCGAACTCAGCGTCTTCGGAGTGTTAAGCACGTCAGGTTCTTCCATGTCAGGAGATTGCTGAAAAACAGAAATGAGAAAAAATAAAAAAATAGCCATGAAAACAATTTCAAAGAGCTCAATACAATCATTCAGTTTAAAAACTAAAAGAATTTATTTTCTGCCACAACCTCTGATTTCTATATCTTTGCAACTTGATGTTGTAGACCTCTGATATTTCAAACTATAAATTCTGTTAGATTAAATAGTCTAAGTTTGAAATATAGAAGGTTTACAACGTCAAGTTGCAAAGATAGAGGGATTAGAAAATTTGAGCCTGTGGCAAACACTCAATTCCTTTTTGCAGCATTTCAATATCAGTAGGTTTGAAAACCGACATTTTATAAACTCCTTCGATGCTTTCAAGTTCTGGGTTAATCTGCAAGCAGTAAGGCAGATACAACTGTGTAACAGGAAGACGACTTTTAGACTTCATGTAACATTTTGAATAGTTGAATGAACATAAAACACAACAATTGCAGTGATCTAGTATATTACTATTAAAACTATGTGACAACATTATTCAAATTCCAGTATTGCTATAATGTCGTCTTCCTATTCATAGTTTTCTAATTCTCACTGTATTCTACACTCTACTGAGAGTCAATAATTGCTTACCATATGAACTTCATGGAAGTACTGGAGCAGAGGTTCAGTTATTGATCTCCGGAACTGCATCAGCTTTTCTCGAATCGGAGAGAGGTTGTTCGCGCTGTTCTTGTACCCGGAAGGATTACGGTTAAGGTCAGGAGTTGAAGTACGCTTAGATACCGCTGTGGAGGTTGGTAACTGTAAAGTATTAGATGCTTCTTGTCGTGGAGAGTCTAGAGCAACAGATGTTGAAGATGATAACATTCTCACTGTTGAGGTTACTGTCGAGGTATGTATGCTAGTAACAATTGCTGTTTCAGTAGATTCACTTTTTCTTTCTCCATACTGAAATAAGAACATAATTAAGATACAAATTTAGGACAACTTGCTGAAGAGGGTGAAGAAGAACTAATAAAGGAAGAACATAATGAGGATGCGCAAAAGTGTGTCATGAATACCTACATGTATTAAAACTGTTTTTATTTGTGATTTTACTGCGAAAGTGTATTGCGTATTTCTTACTTATAATAAGCAATGGAATCGTTATCAGATTTAAACACTTTTCGAGTCAAATAAACGAGGTTATAATCCATACTTTGTATCATATGAAGGTTTCAAGGGTACTATGTGTATTATTATGTTTATTACCTTTTTACTTGAGAACGGAGAAACTTCAGCAATTGGTTTTGATTTGGTTGGAGGAGGAGGTTCCTTGTAAGCTGGGGGAGGATTACTCCTGGCTAAGGAGGAGTCAGAGGAAAACCTATTTAATGGAAGAATCTGACAGGACACCCCTCCCTGGCTTGCTTCAGGTTTCAATGGAGTGGGAGGAAGGCAGACTACGCTCATCTCAGATTCGTTCAAGTTCGGTTCTTCATCGAAACTTCCGGAACAGTTCTTTGTGTACTTTTTGGTGCTTGTGGTAGATTTTACATTCGGATCCTAGATTAGTTTAAAGATTAGCAAATTCGCACCAAGAGCCTATTATTGGATTCACCCTAGAAAGCTTTTTAATAAAAAGTAAGAAAAATCCCGTAAATTAAACAAATATGAAATAACATTTAATTTTTTGACTATACAACATTTTAAAAAATATTTTGTTTCCGGTTTTTACAACTCTTTACCTTAGGTTTAAACATTCTGAGCAATGAACTTGAAGGTTTCTGATTAGGTCTAGAGTTTTTATTCTGTTCTTCTGGTTCTTCCACTTTCCGCCTCCAGTTCTCAAACAGTATTTCCATCTCTTTCACGGTGTAAGACTTCGCCTTAAAATCCTCCAAAAGACCTAAAAAGTTGCGCATTTACATAAAGTCTTAAAAATTTACAATTTGAAAACGAAATTTGAAAAAAGATATTTTTTAAAGATTTTTTGCACGGTAAAATTAAAAATTTAGCTGATTATCTGTTTGATTGGAAGAAATTCCAAAAGTCTAAATCGAAATTTTGATGCAAAAAAACATCATTTTCCGTAAAGTTTTGTGCTCATGATTAGGAGGAAATTTTGGCCAGATCAGTTCAGCTGCTTTGAGCTGCAGTTTATTGGATTGAACCAGTATATAAGCCACACAAATATAACATAAACCGTGCAACCAAAAAAAAGGTGGATTAGTAAGACGACTTATAGACTCAAGTCATGCTTTATAATAGTCTAAAAAACATTAAACATATCAAATACCAATAAGATTGCATAAATGTCATCAACTGCTTGTGTATATAGAAGAGATCATGCTTACCAAGTAGTTCATCAGTGGCAGCTAGCTGAGGGTCTACAGGTTCTCCTACTCCACGGTAATCTGGTTCATCAACCCTCTCAACACTCTTATCCGTCCTGTTCTGGTTTCTAGATTCCCTATCATGGATTCCAGGTCCCCTATCCTGGTTTTCAGGTTCCCTGTCATGGATTCCAGGTACCCTGTCCTGGTGCCCTGGTACCCTGTCCTGGTGCCCTGGTACCCTGTCCTGGTGCCCTGGTACCCTGTCCTGGTGCCCTGGTACCCTGTCCTGAGTTCCTGGTTCTGGATCTAGGAAAACATCACTAGCACTGGAAGAAGGTACACTGGAACCCCGGGCTGCTCGCATTGTACCAAATGGATCCCGGTTAAAGTTTGAGTATTGAGGCTCAACGCGGGATTTCTCACGTAGACTGCGATTAACTTGACTACCTCGGAGTGTTCCAAACCTAGAACGTAAACTATGAACTTTCTAAGTAGGCATTGGATTTTACTTGCGCGCAATTCCACGTAATTTCACGGAATTTCGATTGAAAACCATACTTCAAAGTAAATGGATAAAATAATTATGTTGAAATTCGTTGTTAACTTTATTCTCTCACTTAATGCTAAAATTCCCTAAAGCCATTTTGTAAAGTTACATTCTTCAAAAATATTCTGTTTTTTAATTGAATACGCAGGACAACTTCAAACGCCATACACCACCAAATAAAATGCTGACAGTAGGTGGCTGAAAAATTAGAAAATGGTTCCGTCTCTTATATCATTTGTTTACTAAAATTTGAATATAATGAACCTCTTAGAATTTTGTAGAAAGGTCAAAAAAGATTCTTTGGAAATGTTTCTTGGAAATTGATTATTCTTTGCAAAGTAAACTTCTTTGAAAGAAATTGAATCTTTGCCAAAAAATATGATTTTCCAATCCCTGTATATGTGTAACCCAATGTCGTAGTTCTTACATATTTCAAACTATGAATTCTGTTAGATTACATAATCTAAGTTGAAAAAATTAAAGGTTAACACCATCAGGTTGGAAAGATATAGGGACTAATCATAATAAAAGTAAGTGTCTTAAACCTGTCATATTGAAGACCTCTGGAAAAGTCTGGAATTTCATGATAGGTCTGATCATTTCCTCCATACCCTCCATACCCTCCATTCCCTCCGTACCCTAGATCTAGGGGCCCACGGTCCAGGGCAGACTCTCGTGTTTCAATTTGGCTCCATAGATGTCTCTGCTGAGATTCTTCATTTAGAATTCTTCTAAAATAATAATAAAAGTTTAAAAGTTTTTTTTTGAATAAATTAGAATAAAACATGTACAACAAAAAATCTTTTATGATGAAATGTGTATTAAAAAAGCAAAAAAAAAGTGTTCAAAATCATTATATGTTCTTTTTCTGAAGTTTTGGATGCTATCTTGTAGAATCTTGCCATAATCAGAAAGACTTAGAATTAATTGACAGTTAATCAGGCGACTTTACATATACATTTCTGGCAATTTAAATTGTACAAAAAAGGCAGACCACTTTTGGGAAATGGCAAGGTTATTTTGTGATTAACTTTAAATGAATTCCGTGTCTTGCTGATAAGGAATGCGTTAAAAAAGAAAAAAAGTTTTACTTATAATTTTATTATTGTTAAATTGACCATAGTTTTTATATTTTTACCTAGAGTTTCGTTCCATATGCATCTCCAATGAATGGAGAAGAAGAGTTATATCTCGCAGATTTCCAGGTTTTCGATTCTTTTCACTTTTCCGAACCTTAACATTTATATATATATATATATATATATATATATATATATATATATATATATATATATATATATACCAGTTGAAGTGCCCGGCGTTGCCCGTAGAATTTTAGAAACACTTTAAAAAATTTGAATTTTGATAAAAAATTTGAATTATGAAAAAATAATTTGTTACCCCCGGGGTACCCGGTACCCAAGGGTCTCCTAAAAAAATGTCAACCCATTTGGTCCAGCCGTTTGCCTAGCTATTGGGTCTATATAGCTCACATATATACATGACGAAGAACTTTATTATATAGAAAAATATAGATTGTATATTTACAGTAAAACACCCTGATCATTCTTCTGTGGTGAAGTTTTGATACCTGTGAAGGCGAAGGTGTATACCTGTGAAGGGGAAGGTGTATACCTGTGAAGGGAAAGGTGTATAAGGGGAAGGTGTATACCTGTGAAGGGGAAGGTATATACCTGTGAAGGGGAAGGTGTATACCTGTGAAGGGGAAGGTGTATACCTGTGAAGGGGATGGTGTATACCTGTGAAGGGAAGGAGTATACCTGTGAAGGGAAAGGTGTATACCAGTGAAGGGGAAGGTGTATACCTGTGAAGGGGAAGATGTATACCTGTGAAGGGTAAGGTGTATACCAAAGGGGAAGATGTATACATGTGAAGGGGAAGATGTAAACCTGTGAAGGGGAAGGTGTATACCTGTGAAGGGGAAGGTGTATACCTGTGAAGGGGAATATGTAGACCTGTGAAGGGTAAAGTGTATACATGTGAAGGGGAAGATGTATACCTGTGAAGGAGAAGGTGTTCCTGATCCTGACATATCTAGGTAGTTCCCTGGTATCCCTCCTGCTCCAGGTGCTCCAGGTGCTCCGGGTGCTCCAGGAACTCCAGGAGTAGGGGACTCTGTGACTGGTCTAGGTGGAGGAGGAACTTGATAAACACTCTCTGTAGCTGGATCAGGACCAGAGTAATCAGAGTTTGCAAACTCCGAGATTAGACTTGAAGAAGGTTTACGGTGCTGACCACCAGGAGGATAGAAGTGTCCATGTTTGATATAATCGTAGATATGTGAGAACTTTGAGGGCTGCGCCTGCAAATATATTTATCAAACAATGTGTAATGAAAGGATTTCGTCATAAAACAAATGGCGGATGAAAGAGTACCATTGAAAACTGCTGAAAACTGAAAAAGGACACTGCTGTGCTAAAAAGGAATATTTTAAAACTTCTAAGATTCAAAAAGCGGTCGATGACAAATTAGTCTTTAAACTTAAATGTCATCTTCTTTTCGGGGGGGGGGGGGGCAGAAAAGACCCCCCCCCCTAATTTTTAAAATATAACTTTAGCTGTGATCTGACCTGATGAGATTTTATAATTTCGGCTAGGTCATGAAATCCGTATTCAGCAGCTAGCTTCTCAGGGGTCAGCTCACCACAATTTCTAAAAACAAAACTTATTCAATTTCAAGAAATCAAAAAGAAATTGAATATCAAATCAAATAAGGTATTTATGAAAAGAAAAAATGGAATTTTGCTGTAAAACTGTTACTGCTAAAAATTGTTTGCTTTAATAAGAAAAAAAGATGAAGTGTTCTTAAAATTAAGTGCGGTTTTTTTATTATAGTGTCTAGTGGATTTTTATGCATGAAGAGAAATTTTAAGATTACAAAAAAGAAACGATTATGATCAACCTTCTTATTACTCAGATAAAGGATTAAAGGGTACCATGGTTAATTGAACATGCCATAATAGCAATGAAGGGTCACTTGAAATTACATCTGCACTCTACAGTCCCTGAGTCTCTATGAGTCGTGTTTAACCATATACTCATTACAAACGCAACAGATAGAAGTAACCTCGAACTAAATTCGAGGTTGGCCTATATCCCATTTATTTTTTCGCCAACACTTCCTTTTAGTCAAAAGTTTAACCTTATTTGAAGCGCAGCTTGTGCTCCAGGGCAGTCTAGTAGCGCGCAGGTCAACTGCTCTAGCCCGTGAGCAGCAGAAAAATGAAGAAGGGTCGGATACTCACAGTCGTCTTTCCTAAATTTTAAAAATTGTAAAAAAAAATTCTATGGGATTAACAAAAATGCATTAGCAAAAAGACAACTTTCCACGAGTTTGAGAAAAATTCACCATCAATTAAGAAAGAACTGATTACTTGCATTAAAATCTAATATTCTAACTCCCAAATCATTTCACACTGATGGGGTAACACTTTAATTTCAAACGGTCACTTCTTGATCTAGTTAATTTTAAAGTTTGCAATATCAAAGTTCTACAAGTCCAGGTTACAAAGATATATGTATTCTAAAATTTAATTTTTTAACAATTGTGTTTTAGTTTCTTTGCAAAAATTTTTATTTTTCATTACAAATACAAAGAAAAAGGAAAGGGCCGCAGATAACAAAAAACGGAGGCAGAGAAGTGCCCTAAATTAAAGATTAAATAAAAAGTTGGTAATTTAAAAGTTATACCTGTTAATTTCTTCTCTACCCTGGGAAAGAAGAGGAAGACCATGCCTGAAAAAAAGTTTTTAAAAAAAAGAATATTTATTTTTTTAAATCAATTTTTACAATTTTTTAAAGAAAATATAAATTTTGAAAATTTGTTGAAAAAAGGATTTTTACAAGTTTTTTTTTATTGTTCTTAATATGTCTGTCAAACTTTTTCTTTCGATAGATCTAGATCTTAATAGATTTTAATAGTAATACAGAGTACATCTACAGCCCCCAAATGTGTGAAATATGCCGGCATTTTGGTGACAATAAAACAAAATGGTGGTTTAGTTTTTCTATGTATTTTCTTCTATTCACCTGGGAATATTATTGAGGAAGGATTCTGTTAATTTTTCATCCAACTGATCCTTACACTGAGAAGAGACAGAAACAGTTTGACACAAGAATTCTAAAAAAATGATAATTCTAAAAAAAATTTGTAAAAAAATACTTTCGTGAAAGCAAAGCTAGATGCCAAGAATGGGATTTAACCTGGACTAACCAGGGCTAAATATACAGAATAAGAATAAGACTGTAAAAACACGACCAAATCTCTTAAGATTTGACGATTTCAAGGTTACATTAAGTCTTCTGCATTAAATAAAGTCTTTTAATGGCGTGCACCATGATTGAACAAAGAAAAAACAAGTTTTTATTGGAAGTGAATCATTTTTATATTTGGAAAGAGGAAGTGTAAATTCTGTCATCTCTGAACTATCATCCTATATATTCGGATTTCTTAATTTGTCTTCAATCCTGTTTTGGTCGATAATTCCTATAATTCAACAATTTTTAAACTTACAGGGTGTTTTTTTCCAGACCATTTAAATGAGAGAAAGCAGTAAAATATTGGTTTAAAAACGATCACTTTCAAAACGATCGTTTTTAAAACTATAGTTATAAGAACGATCGTTTTCAAAAGCTTAGGACTAACCCTTGGTTAGTGTTAACAATTAGTTTTCCAAAAGACGAATGTTAGTTAGTTAGTTTTGAAAAATGTAAAACGAAACTAAAAGCTAGTTGTTTGAAAACTAGGCCCATCCCTAATTGTGATTATAGTGCTTATAGCCGGCCATAAGAAACCCTGATGGTTTCTAAGGTTTATACCCCCCCTTGATAGCTTCCTGTGTACGCCCTTGGATTTCATGTAAAATTACTCAAAATGACTTAAATTTGTCTTATATTTTTTTAATAGAGAATGTTCCATTTTTTAGAAATATTTTGCTATTAAGTTGTTGGAATGGGTCTCGAAAAAAATAGTTTAAATCATGTTTTAAAAATTTTCTTGATAAAAATACTACAATAAAAACCAGAAAACTCAGGAACAGAAAGACAACTTGATGGCAACACTTGAGTTTATTTGATGTTGTTAAAAGCAATGGACTGATTAAGTAAAATAGGTCTGTTGACATCGTTGACACCGCACAATTGCTGTGTCACATTTCCATTAGACTATTTTAAAATCATAATCTCCTGTTTACCTATCGGGTCTAAAACACTGCTGAGAATTATTTCCATCTCATGCTGTTTAGCTTCACACTTTAACTGCCTGAAATATAATTTGTTACAATTTTGAAGGTTATTTTCTTAATTTTAATGATAACTAGCTGAATTGCCCTGCCCGTGGAATTTTTGAAAATCAAAATTTGAAAAAAAATTGAATTTTGAAAATATAAGATTTTTTCCAAAATAGATATTTAGATTTTTTTAAAGCTTATGTTACCCCCCAAGGTATCCATGGGTTCCCTCAAAAAATGTCGGTTAATTTGGTCCAGCCAAATTGAAATATGAAAATAAATATTCTTCAACTGTCTAAAGTATCAAACTATTACTTTTTAGGGATTTAAAGATTATTTTGTTGTCAATTAAACTTTATCTTTTATAGCCAATAGTTTTATATTATTTTTTTTTTAATGATTTAATATAATTTGTTCAAAAATTTTCAAAAAAAATTTTTTTTAAATGTTTTCAAAATAGTTTACCTAAATCCTTTGTTTTCTCCGTCTACCTCTATGTAAAGATTCACTGAAATATTAATAATATTTATCATTATCTGATATCACTTTTTAGCGCCGATTAAAGGATTCATATCTCTAATTGAATGATGAGATAGATATTGGTTCAGAATATACACCAAACACATGACGGAACCCAGATTGGATCAGGCGCTAATGTAATCGGCAAACAAATGTGATATAAAGTTTGTTTTAGTGGAGATTATAAAATCTATTTATTTTTCATTTATTTATTAAATGTTCCGCGTGACTAGCTTATTTTATTATTAAAATAGACAAAAATAAACTTTGAAAAGAATAGTTTTAATGGCTTATGGCTTATGAAATTGACTAATGTTTTTATTAGCCTCTTTTGACCCCGCCCCCCCCCCTGGTTGAGCAACCTAGGAATTAGGTTAGGTTAAAAAAATAGAAAGTCATGAAATGTAGTTATTTTTCCACATTTAATAAGAAATAATCCTATTTTACAGAGATATCCAGAGAACGATGAAATAGGAAGACGACATTATAGTAATACTTGAGTGCATGTGATGTAGTTAAAAACCAAATAGTTTTACTAGATACTTATTAAATTTAGTGAAATGGGTGTGTTAGCACTGCACAATTGCTGTATTTCATGCTGATTAGACTGTTAAAGTTATAACATGATTCTAATAATCGTCTTCCTATTGGAGAGTTTTCGGGTTCAATCTGTAGTAGCAAATATTTACCTAAGCATGATTTAGCCATGAGACAGACCGGTATGGTTGCCAGGACAGTGTAAGGGTTCTTCATCTTAACATCATCAATAGGAACTCGTTTACCTAGACAAACCAACCAATCAGAAGCAAGCATAAGTATTTTAACCAATCAGTAGCAAGCATTTGCATTTAACCAATCAAAAAAAAGCATTCAAATTTCATCTAATCGGAAGCAAGCGTTTGTAATTCAACCAATCAAATACAAGCATTAGCGTTTCAAACAATTTGATACAACCGTTTGCACTTCAACCAATCAGAAACAAGCATTAGCATTTAAACCATTAGAAACAAGCGTTTGCATTTCAACCAATCAGAAACAAGCATTAGCGTTTCAAACAATTGGAAACAAGTGTTAGTTTTTCAACCAATCAGAAACAAGCAAGCATTAGCGTTTAAACCAATCAGAAGCAAACATTTCCTGTTCAATTAATATGAAGCAAACATGTTATTTTCAACAAATCACAAGAAAGCAATTACAAGTGTTAGTTTTCAACCAATCAGAAACAAGCAAGCATTAGCGTTTAAACCAATCAGAAGCAAACATTTCCTGTTCAATTAATATGAAGCAAACATGTTATTTTCAACAAATCACAAGAAAGCAATTACAAGAATTTGCATTTCAACCAATCAGAAACAAGCATTTGAAATTCTGCCAATCAGAAACAAGCGCTTTCATACCAATCAAAAGCAAGTATTAACATTTCAAACAATTAGAAACAAACATGTGTGCATGTCAACCAATCAGATGCAAGCATTTGACGTTCAACCATTCCAAACAAGAATTTAAATAATTAAATAATAATTAAGAAATTGTTTTTAACCAAATAAAATTGATCGAATTGTCTGATTGACCTTTCGATCATACAACTATATTGAACTTATGCGATCAAACAACTACATTGAGTTTAAGCACAATGCCTATTTACAGACACATTAAAATATACTTTCTTCTATTCCTTTTGATTGTTTTATCAGTGGGTGAGGAGGGGGGAGGGAAAGGGGTGATTTAATTGATTGGTTGATTGATTGATCACTTTACCTGCTTTATCTACATAAACATGGATAAGAGATCGACTGGTAACCGGGCGATCAAGCAGAAGGACAACTCGATTTTGAGATTCAGTCACCTGAATTTGAAATTGATTAAACATTGATTTTTCTATGCTTAAAATCTTTTTTTTAAAATCAACTGAGCAAGATTTGTGTTTACTTTTCCTTAAGAAGTAGTTACAACTGCTGTATTTTGAAAAAAAACATCCTTAGCGACTGTTTACATATTTCAAACAAAAGTCTAAGGGACGAGAATTCGATTGTCTTTTGGTTATCGCTGTATTTCGTATTTCGTTTTATATATTTCTTTTCAAAATAATTGTTATCAATATTGCCTTTGAAAAAATATCCAATTTATATATAACTTTAACCTAGAAAAAAAACGTTATTGAGAATATTTAATGCAATGGTTTTTTTAAGTTTGATTTTATTCTAATATTCTATCAACTGTATTGTAATAAGAAATGGTACCTTTCGTGGAAGAATGGTGAAAAAGAAAGTTTCGGAGAGAACAGATTCTTTCAGCTCAGTTCTTTGTAGAATCTAAAGTGAAACATTAAGTTTTAACCTTTTATAGTTTTATTAGAAAAGATAATTTTGCAAGCATTTGCACAGAAAATATTCGGCTTCTTATTTTTAGTTCGTGAACCTCATTAGTTTTTATAATTGAGAATCCAAACTTTAAATTAAATATGAATTCCAAAATATTTACTCATGGTTATGACCGTATTTGAACAGTGTCAAAAATCATCAGAAAAGCTCAAAACCTAAAATCAACGAGGTTCACAATCTGTATTTTAAGGATTTCTTAATAAACATGAGAATTAAGTGAGAATTTCCTCTCCTATACAAGTAATATACAAATAGATTTGACGTTGAATTTAAAATCTTTATTGAGAAAACAGTATTGAGAGAAACAATGAAATTTAAAACTTAAAGTAAATTTTACCAAATAAAGGAGCTGGGTCTTTAATACAAAATTTGAAATTCTTATCCCTATATCTTTGCAACCTAATGTCATAGAGACCTTACATATTTGAAACTATGAATTCTGTTTGATCAAATCATCTTTGAAATATCAAAGGTTTACACAATGAGGTTGCAAAGGTATATACCTGGGATGAGAAGTAGAGAACAGTTTGAACGAATTCTAGGTCATGATCTCGAGCCTCCAGATGAACCCACTGCTGGAACGAGACAAGGGACGATCTGAGATTAAAAAATAAAACTGTAAATCACATGTACATGTACATGTATATGTAAATGTTCAATTACATCTGTTTACATGGTTAGTGGTGATCCAACTAAGAATGTTTCATTAAGTAAATTTTAAATTGTTAAGATTTAATTTTTTAAAACGATTCTGCAGTAGGAAATGTATTTTTATTTTTGGCTTTCCGACTAAAAAAGGAACATTTCAAAAATAATTTTTTTATAAGCTTTACTTACATTTCATGAATAATTAACAATAGTGTCAACCAAACGACAGAAAAAATTAAAAGTAAAATTCTGAAAAGTAAGAATGATCCATCCCTACCTATGCTCAGGAGACACCTGCTCCTCTCTGACTCCAAGGAGAAGAGCAATAACACGATCCTGCTGCAGCAGTCGGCCAACCTTAATCCATTCATTTATTGATTGATTTTTTTATCTTATTGATTGATTGGTCTTTTTAGAACCGAGCAATAACTCGATCTTGCTGCAGCATTTAATTGTTTAATAGAATGGTTATTTAAAGGGAGTGAACGGCAATGTATGGTGGTTGAAGTGAAAATGCAGTATTGCGGAAATTCTTTTAGGCATCATTTGAGACCTAAACCACGTTTCCACGACGTGTAGTCACTGAGTTTCAGCGCAAAATTGACGTTAAAAATCATCAATTTGGATGGGTACGTTTTGAGAATCGTTTTTTTTCAATCATAAATAACGACGACAAGCAATTTAACAAAAATTCTACAGTAAACTAATTGGTTGTTTAGGAACAGGTTGAGTAAATAAGTAATCTTATTCAGTGATAAGTTTCATTTGTCTCTCAATCTTCACAAACATTTTCTGTAGATTTTATAGAATTTTTATTGTAAAGACGACATTTAAAGAATTTGTGAAAATCTATGAACAAATTTGTAAAGAATGAGTAATAATTATGCGTAATTTGCAAAATTGAAGTTTGGCTAATTACGCATAATTGTTACAATATTTCGCGAAATTACCTTGTAGAAATTACGCGAAATTGAAATTTTATTGATTTTTAATAATTTGATATTTTGATATTTTATGCATTACTTAATAGATTAGTTGATTATTTGATTTTTAGATTAATAAATCAATTGAAAAAAATGTAACTCAAACTTTACAATGTTAAGAAAATCCCTGCAATTTAAAATATTTTAACTCTTTTTTCGATAAATTACTCACCAATTGATCTGGATGCTGTTGAATCCAGCGTAGAAATAATGGAGATAATATCACAAGTTGCAGGCGGGAATTGTAGATATCAGACTAGAATTAGTAAAATTGTAGATATCAGACTAGAATTAGTAAAATTGTAGATATCAGACTAGAATTAGTAAAATTGTAGATATCAGACTAGAATTAGTAAAATTGTAGATATCAGACTAGAATTAGTAAAATTGTACATATCAGACTAAAACTAGGAAAATTGTAGATATCAGACTAGAATTAATAAAATTGTAGATATCTAGAATTAGTAAAATTGTAGATATCAGACTAGAATTAGTAAAATTGTAGATATCAGACTAAAACTAGGAAAATTGTAGATATCAGGCTAGAATTAGTAAAATTGTATATATCAGGCAAGAATTAGTAAAATTGTAGATATCAGACTAGAACTAGTAATATTGTAGATATCAGACTAGAACTAGTAAAATTATAGATATCAGACTAGAATTAGTAAAATTGTAAATATCAGACTAGTATTAGTAAAATTGTAATTATCAGACTTGAATATGTAAAATTGTTGATATCACACTAGGATTTGTAAAATTGTAGATATCAGACTAGAATTAGTAAAATTGTAGATATCAGACTAGAATTAGTAAAATTGTAGATATCAGACTAGAATAAGTAAAAGATAAATAAATATTGAAAAAGGGTTGAATAACCTCTATCTGATGAGGGAGTATAGGTTGTATATCTTCTACGGGTAGGTGCCGTACAGTTAGTTTTCCTTTATGCTTTGATAGTTCTGTAAACAGCTTGTACAGATACCTGAACATAAACTGTACAATAAACAGCTTGTACACCTAGATACCTGAACATTTACTGTACAGTAAACAACTTGTACAAATATATATGTACTGTAAGCTAAATAGGTGTATCGTGTGCATGTATCTATGTATACGTAATGCACAGTAAAATTCTTGTAAAATGGCTTAATATATGTACCGCAGAAAGATCATCATAGACAAAATGTAAAATGATTGCTTTGCAAGTCTTATTCAACTTTATGTACATATCTCGATGCGGTACACACTTGTATGCCGATTCCATTAGCGCCTGATCCAATCAGGGGTCAGTCATGTGATTGTTGTCTTTTCTGAACCAATAGAAATTGCATGACGGTAAAATCTATCTTTCTATCTATTTCATTATCCAATTAGAGATGAATCCTTAAATTGACGCTAAGCAGTAAATGGAAATATTTACTTCTACTGAAACAGAAGTTAGTAGACTCATAAAACTTGAGAAAAGAAGACGCCTGTTATGATTTTAACTAACTGACATGAAACACAAAAAGTATTTAGTGAACAAAAAATTCACTGAATAGTTCATTCCAGCAATTTTTTTATTACAACATCTTATACACAAATGATTGCTTAAAATGCCATGTTTCTGTTCCATAACGTTATGGGTTTCACCGTACACTATAAAATTGTACAGTACCGTGTCCTCTGTGCACTGTAAAATTGTACTGTACCTTGCCCACTGTTCACTATAAATTGTACTGTAACATGCTAATCGTGCACTATAAAATTGTTCTGTACCGTGCCCACTGTACAGTATAAAATTGTACTGTACCGTGCCCACCGTACACTATAAAATTGTACTTGTACCGTGCCCACCGTACACTATAATATTGTACTGTACTGTGCCCACCGTACACTATAAAATTGTTCTGTACTGTGCCCACCATGCACTATAAAATTGTTCTGTACCGTGCCCACCGTAAACTATAAAATTTTACTGTACCATGCTCACTGTACACCATAAAATTGTACTGTACCGTGCCCACCGTAAACTATAAAATTGCGCTGTACCGTGCCCACCGTAAACTATAAAAATGTACTGTACCATGCCCACTGTACACCATAAAATTGTACTTTACCGTACCCACCATACAATATAAAATTGTACTGTACTGTGTCCACTGTACACTATAAATTGTACTGTACCGTGCCCACTCTGCACTGCCCTGGCAGAATCTACTGTACAAGATTACAACCTCATCTATCTTCTCATCACCTGAAACATGAACACTGTACTACAAAACATAAACACTGTACTGCAAAATTGTACAATTTAAAAGATGACGTCCTTTCAAATGCATTACTGCAAACTAAACAGAAGGAGAAGGTAAAATACAGGGTTACCCACAAAGGATGAGACTTCAGAGAAGATTGTACGGAATATGTTTAGTCCGTTTTCTTGTATTCAGGGTTCCTTGTAGGATTTGTTTAGTCCGTTTTCTTGTATTCAGGGTTCCCGTAGATTTGTTTAGTCTGTTTTATTGTATTCAGGGTTCCTTGTAGGTTTGTTTAGTCTGTTTTCTTGTATTCAGGGTTACTTGTAGGTTTGTTTAGTTCGTTTTCTTGTATTCAGGGTTCCTTGTAGATTTGTTTAGTCCATTGTCTTGTATTCAGGGTTTCTTGTAGGATTTGTTTAGTCCATAAACTGGCTTATTTCAGTGCCTAATTATTTCGTAAACCATTAGAATACTCAATGGAATGCAGAAATCGAAAATCAAAATTCAAATCGTCATTTTTTTAGAGTTTTGGGTCGTCTTTACAGTCTCATTCTTTGTGGGTAAACCTGTATATTCTACATCAGCGGTACAACTTTCTGATCTCTAGTTTTGACGTTACACACAAGTATATGAGAAATACAAATCTATCCAGTTACATATAAGCAATTTAATTTCTTTTGATTTTCTCAACAGCTCTAATAGCTCTTTAATTAAAGAAGTTGCGATTGAAAATATGAAAAATATAAATCTTACGTTGCAAATTACTTTAGTTTGACGACTAAAAATTTGCCTCCAACAAAATTCGATTTATGAAAATTCTAAAAATCCGCGAAATTTTTGTTTGTTTTTGATTTACAAGTTATACAACGAAAACATGTTCACAATTGAAATAGAAGATGGGCGCGAGGTGCCCTAAAAGCCTGATATATATATATATATATATATATATAAATAAATATCAATCATCTATCTATCTATCCTTCCTGGTTTCCCATGGATAACGGACACGCCACAGTTTCCTGTCTGTTGGGGCGCAATAGTAACCTTTATACTCATTTTCAATATTTATGTATTTATCACCAAACCTCGAATAGATAAAAATACATAGATAGATAAAGATACATAGATAGATAGATAGATAAAGATAGATAGATAGATAGATAAAGAAAGATAGATAGATAGATAGATATATAAATAGATAAATAGATAGAACTACATAAATGTTTAATGGAAAGATGGAAATAAATGTTTAAATAGATAATTATAGAAATAGTCAAATAGATAAATAGATAAATAGATAAATAGATAAATAGATAAATAGATAAAAAGTTAAATAGATAAATAGTTAAATAGATAAATAGATAAATAACATAGAACGGACCCCGCCCCTCCCCCCTTTAATCTAATATTCACACATTTTTTTTATAAATGTCCACAATTTTTGTGAGAAAATGAGAGAAGGATTATACAGGGTGTCCCACATCATTTCGAATTGTGGTTCTAAATTGCGATTTTCGGGACTTATCAGAAAATTTAGAAAGATGAAATCAATTTAAAAAAATTATATAAAAGTTTCCTTGCAGAAAACATTAGGCTTTCCGAATATTTGCGTATTTCGAGTATTATGTGCGTATTTCGAGTATTATGTGCGTATTTCAGCGTTAAACCTTGAAGATAATTCAATGTGATATGGGATGTTACCATAGATTAATTAAAATAACAGATAGAACACTAGATGTCGTCTTTTCGAGATTTATAACTATTTTGTTCACAATAACCCTGGGTCGGAAGCCCAAAGGAGTTACGAGTATTCGGCGTAGCACAGGCTCTCTCTCTGTGTTGTGAGAGCCTGTTCTACGCCGACTAAGCGTAACTTCTTTGAGCCTCTGCCTCAGGGTTATTACGAACGAAATGTTGAAAAGACGACATATAGTGTTCTATCTGTTATTTTAATTAATCTATGTATCGGCTTTGTACATGTATTGTGTACATATGAAGGAACATAGTTAACCATCTTTGTGTGTATTAAAAGCGTACTGTAGTTTCTGTGAGAAATATAAACAAACTCAGTTTTCATGTCAGACAAAAGTAAGTTTGGAATCTTACATGTTTTAAATAATAATGATAACTCCTTTTTTAAGGAGCTATTAAAGATCCAAAAATGTTTGTAAAATAAAAAGTAGAAAGGCTACGAGATATCAAAGAAGTACAAGTACATAGATTTAGCCTACAGTCCCACCAATTTTAAGACAGGGTCGACTTTGAAGTGTCGCAAAACCTGGGGCTTAGATTTTTCCGTCTTAACTCACAAACACTTTTCTATAGCCCTCTACATAAACATGTTAGCACTAAAAAGGACTTATTGTTAGTTTAAATCACAGTCGGCCAGTGATGTCTCATAAAAGGTTTGTATAAAGTGTGCTGCTTGGATCGAGTTTTGTTCTTATATTTTTCTCAGAATTGGCGTGCAATTTAGGAAAAGAAATTAAAGTTCCTAGCTATAAATACAAGGGTAACCGCCAAAAAGTTCGTGAAAAAAGTTTCCGGAAAAAAGCTATAATATTTTGCACTAAAAAAGTCCTTCGGCAAAAAAATCCTTTTATTAAAAAGTTTACGGAAATAAAGTCCTACCAATTCGAGACTTTATTTTCGAGGACTTTTTCTGGCTCCAGTAAAAAAGTCCCAGGAATAAAAAACACAGGACTTTCCAGTGAGATTCATTCGGACTTTTTTCTAATTTTTTTCCCAGGGTTTTTTTTCAAGAAAGTTTTCCTGGGACTTTCTTACATAGATTCAATACAAGAGCCGGCAAAATGTTGTTTTCAAATTTGTTTTTGTCAAGAAATTCATTAAGAATTTACAACAACAAAAAATATTTTTTTTTTGGCAAAGAATCCTTACAAATTTCCCATGGTTTTCAAAAATTTGTATTTGAAATGTTGTTATATTAAAGTTTTTAAATCGTCTGTTAACCCTATTCCCGCTGGGGGGGGGGTCAATTTGACCCCCCCCTGTAGTTTTTTCTACATAACTCAAAAAGTATTGGTCTGAGGCTGTTGAAATTTTCTGACTTTTCTTACATACCCAAAGCCCTCCCTTTAGGCCTAAAACCGGGCTTTAATACTAACTGCCTGAGTCCTCAGGCACACTGCCTGAATGACTGCTTTTGCCTGTAGCAAACTAAATCTTTGTTTTGACCCACTTTCACTTGTCAGATTTTGATAAAATTTAGCT